ATTCGATACGTTCCCACAATTCCTATCGACCTCAGATTTCCATTTTCGATATCAACTGAATAACACGTTGTCATTATTCTTCAGGTTCATCGTGTTTGAACGGAGCAACGTGTATCAATACAGTTGGTTCTTACAAATGTCTTTGTAATCAGTATACTAACGGAACACGATGCGAACATGACATCGATGAATGTAAACTAAATGCCAGTCTATGTCAGAATGATGGGCATTGCCGAAACTATGTATACCCACACAAATACGCGCCGACTGGGGAAATCATTGGGTTTCTGTGCTTGTGTGCCCCAGGATTTCAAGGTAATTAAACACTTTCTGTGATCTCTCCTATGATACAGCGAAACAAACCGTTATTTAGATATGTTATTAGGTGAAAAGATATTCATTAATATTTACTTGTATTCGGAGATCAGTTCTAATGTTTTTTTTGCCTATTGCGTCTAGGAGCCTTGTTGAACGCTAAATCTCAGATCTTTCGAGGAATTTAATTCAGTGATATGATAAAAATTTAAAAGAATGAAACACAACACTGTAAAATTCAAATAATGTCTGTTTAATTATGTTTATTGTACGTGTTCTGTTATAATTTCATTTGTTTTGTTTAGTTCTTACTTGTATACATGTTTTCTAATCGCGCATGATTCAAATTTAATGCAGAGAAATATTGTGAAGACAATATCGACGACTGTGGACTTAATAGCCAACCCTGCAAGAACGGCGCACAGTGTGTCGACCAGATTAATGACTATTCCTGTAAATGTACCACGGGATGGCAGGCAAAGAATTGTGATCAAGACATCAACGAGTGTTCGTTAGGATACTGTAAGAACAATGCTTCGTGTCATAACAGTCAAGGCTACTATAACTGCACATGTACAACAGGCTTTACAGGACACAATTGTTCCCACAATATCGATGATTGCGAGAAAAACACGTGCGTTAAGAATGCTACATGCATTGACGGCATTAATAATTATACTTGTCGATGTCCTGATGGTTATACTGGAGAATTCTGTCATATTGATATCAATGAATGTGCTTCCAATCCCTGTCAGAACAATGCTACATGTTACGATGGCATCAATGAGTTCAACTGTTGGTGTAGCAGTAACTATACTGGTAATCTATGCCAGTACCCGGTCTCTCGCTGTCGACCAGATAATCCATGTATGAATAACGGGACGTGTATTGACCAAGGGTTACATAACTATACGTGTAATTGCTTGCCTGACTATGGAGGAGAAAACTGTCAGAATATGACAACAATAAGCTTGAATGGTTCATCGTTCATGTCGTTTGATGTCGGTAAGAGTTTGTTTAGCCTTTCACTGCAGTTCAGGACAACTTTAAAGTACGGTGTACTAGCAGCCAATGGAGATAACAGCATGTTACTGCAGRTGAAAGGAGATGAGTTAGAACTCATGTACAACAATGCGAGCCATACCCTTGGTCAAGATGCTAATCTACGTAATGCACAATGGCACCATGTAATCATTAACGTGACAACCAGCGCTATTTACGTCACCATTGACAACGATTCATGTGTCAACTGTATGTTAACTGTTCAGCGGTCATCACAACCCAAGATAACCAAGCTGTATATGGGCGGGAAAGACAGTTGTGACAAGAGATTTATTGGTTGTATACAAGCTGTGGAAATCGATGGTGTTACTGTCATACCAACTGATGCTAGTGTCCAAGTGGTTAACATTGTTACTGGGTGTCCACGTGACGAGGTGTGTCAGCCTAACCCTTGTGTCAATGGTTTATGTGTGGATGAGTGGGACAGTCACCAGTGTGAGTGCACACGACCGTGGACTGGGAACATCTGCAACAAAAGTAAGACTTTTGATATATATCTGTGGTTAATAGCATTGCTATTATCATTACCAGC